GCCAATAAATTTGGAAGACTGGCCAACCAATTGGAAGAAATCCATATTTGAGCCTATTCCAAAGAGAAGTGACCCAACAGAATGTTGAAATCATAGGACAATATCATTAATATCACATGCAAGTAAAATTTTGCTAAAGATAATTTATCAATGGCTGCAACAGTACACTGATAGGGAACTGCTTGAGATTCAAGCCAGATTCTGAAGAGGATGTGGAATGGGGCTATCATTGCTGATATCAGATGGATCTTGGCTAAAAGCAGAAAATACCAAAATGATGTTTATCTGTGCTTTATTGATTATGGAGAGCCTTTTGACTCTACGGATCATGACAAACTCTGGACAACATTGCATAGAATGAGTATTCTGGGACACTTAATTGTACTCCTGAGAAACCTGTACATAGACCAAATAGCAGTCCTTTGAATAGAACAAAGGGACACTGAATGGTTTAAAATAAAAATCAGTTTGTCCCAGGATTGTATTCTCTCACCATACTTATTCAATCTGTGTGCTGAATAAATAATCCAAGAAGCTAGATTATATGAAGAAGAATGTGACTTCAGGACCAGATGAAGACTCATTAACAACCTCTGATATGCAGATGATACAACCTTGTTTGCTAAAAGTGAAGAAGACTTAATATTTACTGATGAAGATCAAAGACCACAGCCTTTGGTATGGGTTGAATCTAAATATAAAGAATGTAAAGAAAACAAAAATCCTTACCACTGGAGCAATAAATAACATCATGATAAATTGAGAAAAGACTGAAGTTGTCAAAAATTTAGGTTTGCTTGAATCCACAGTCAACACTCATGGAAGCAGAAGTCAAGAAACTAAACATGTATTGCATTAGGCAAATGTGGTGCACAAGACCTCTTTAAAGTGTTTAAGAGCAAAGGTTTCACTTTTAGGACTAAGATGTGCCTGACCCAGGCCATGGTGTTTTATAGCCTCAAATGCATGTGTAATTTGGACAGTAAGGAAGACCATAGAAAAATTGATTCATTGAGTTATGGTGTTTACATTGGGTCACTAATTGTCAGAACTGACTCCAAGACACCTAACAACAACAATCACTGACTAAGGAGCTCTGGTGGCACAGTGGTTTAAGCATTTGACTGCTAACCAATGATTAGCAGTGTGAACCCCCCAGCCACTTCTTGGGAAAAAGATGAGGCATTCTGCTTCCGTAAAGATTCACAGCATTGTGGGCTAATGCGTCAGACTGTAAAGTCGTATGAACTGCAAGGTTGGTTGGAAATCCTATACAGGGTCGCTATGGGTCGGAATCGATTTGATGGAACTTAACAACAACAACAAAATCATTGTGGACTGATTCTCTTCTGTATGACAGGATTACTATGAGTTGGAATCAACTCAACCACAGTGGGTTTGATTTGCTTTTTACCACTGAATCAACAGAGACAGGAATTGTTAATTGGCTGATTACTCAGGGAGAAATTGGGTACACTTAATGAGGGTAGAAAAGATCTGGAATCCAAGAGGTACCTTGAAGCATGTCTTTTACTTTGCCTAGAAATTCTGAGTAGTGGAAAACTGCTACATTCATTAAAGAAAAACGTCGAAGACTCAGATTCCACAGAAACAAAGATTTGATTCATTTTCAAAGTAAACAACATCATCCATTCAAGGGACTGTCAGAGAGGATGGCCATAGGATGGGCAGTGGACAAAGGTCAATGTTACTGTTATTGTTATTATTAGGTGCCATCCAGTCAGTTCCAACTTAAAGCTGCCCTATGTACAACAGAGCAAAACGCTGCATGGCCCTGCACCATCCTCACAATTGTTCCTATCTGTGAACCCATTTTTGCAGGCACGGTGTCAATCCATCTCATGAAATGTCTTCCTTTTTATCCACTGACCTGCTTCTTTACCAAGTAAGGGGACCAGTCCCTTCTAAGAACATGGATTTCCATCCTCACTTCTAAGAAACATTTTGACTGCACTTCTTCCAACACATTCTTCTGGAAGTCCATGGTATATTTAATATTCTTCATCAACAGCTAAATTAGGTCTTGTCAAAAGCTATAAAATCAAGGAGTTTATCAATGAACGGTTTCCTGCCTTTTCTTACAACCATTTAATATGAATAATACTCAGGGTGGCTAAAACATTGTTTCAGGGGGAGTCCCAACATATTGTTGCTAATTTGGGATGATTCAGTAGCTAAAGTGTTTGTATGTTTTGCTGGTGGTGAAGAACAGAACACAGATTTCTCACCTTTGGAGGATATAAATGTGGACCAGAGGGGCAAAAGATATGGAGTATGCTAAATAGCTTCCAGTTACCCCTTAAGATCCTTTCTGACAACATAGAATTGTCAGACTACTTCTGGACTTCCATTTATATGACCCAGGAAATATTTTTATTGTTTCAGCCAATTTGAATTAGATTTTTCCAATGTCTAAAGTATAAAGTAACTTAACTGATATGGATTCTTATGAGCAGAATTGCTGGCGCAAAGAGTACATACATTTAAATTTTTATTAGCTCCAAAAATATTGTAGTGATTCACTCATCTTTCCACACCATTCCTAACTTCCTTTTCATCTGCCCCTTCCTGATGGGTGGAACCGAATCCCATTATTGCTTTGATTTACATATTTACTAATTACTAGTGTTGTTAACTATAATTACTGATATTTATTGGACATTTATATTTTCTTCCCTGTGAAATGCTTTTTGCATCATTGTTAATTTTTCTATAGGATTTTTGTGTTTTCTTATTCATCAGTGAAAACTGTTTAAAAGATTTTTTGGATGTTATTTATTTGTTAGAGCTTTATAAGCTATCTCTTGGTTGTTGTTAGGTTCCATCCAGTCAGTACCGACTCATAGTGACCCTATGCACAACAGAATTAAACACTGCCGTGCCCTGGGCCAACCTCACTGTTGTTGCCACGCTTGAGCCCATTGATGCTGCCACTTTGCCAATCCATCTCGCTGGGGGTCTTCTTCTTTTTCTCTGACCCTCCACCTTACCAAGCATGATATCCTTCTCCAGTGACTAGTCCCTCCTGACAATATATCTGAAGTATAAGAGACAAAGTTTGGCCATCCTGGGTTAGCTTGTCTTTTAACTTTTTCTTTCGTGGCAAGTCTTTTTCTTTTTTTTTTTTTTTGCAATTTTGTCCAAAATGGTAAAATCCTGATAGCACTCAATTTGTTATCTTTCCTTTCGATGTTTTTGTATTTTGCGTGATACGGCACATTGGTTCTCTGTCATTTGTCTCTTTGTCCAGTAATTTTAAACTTTGGACATTTTAATCTATAACCTTTCTTTAAGTGTTGTTCAATAGAAAGCCCAATTAAACGTTTTTTGAAAAATTACATTAGCTCTTTTGTTGGGATTTCTTGCACATATATGTACAATTTAGTCAAATTTTAAACTTCTTTAAATTCAGAGGAATATGCTTTAGCTCTTTTAATGCTTCTTTATTTCTGCCATGTTGGTGAGTAGCTTTGGGAGTGTTTTTGTTCATTTTTCTCCTTCATTTCCATTGAGGGGGACGGGGGGAGGAAATTATTAAGTAGCATGTTGGTCCATATCCTAGAAGTCTGGGATCTAGTGGAGACCAGCTTCAAGATGTGATGGATAAATCCAAAGGAAAACAGGTCTTGGACAATGAGCTTGGGCTTTGGGATTCATCTGACCACATCAATCCACTCATACTGGGAAAAGACTGTAACAGAAGCTGCCCCAGGGATTTTTCTTGGCATGTGCTCAAGTCTACTAGAGTGTAACTGGACACATGCTCATCGCAGTGGTTCATGGTACGCACTAAGTTACTCCATCACTTCCCCTAAGGTGAGTGTCACTTCTTTTCTATTAGCAATCTCAAGTCAGACTGTCAGTTCTATTTGTAGGTAGCCCTTGATGCGGCCTAAGCTTCACTGTTCAGTGACAATGGTTCTCTTTGTAACCACAGAGGAGTTTATGAGAACGCTGAAAAAGAGCTCAATATTGAAAGCTGGGAGTTCAAGGCTTAGTTCTGCCACTAATTTAATTCTTGTATTTGGCAAATATAGAGCAGATAACCTTTACTGCTCTATGATCTCCTCTGCTTTTTAGTTGCTATTGTCAGCCTTGTTACATAAATATGATATCATAAAGATTGTGTATCTATGAACAGACTCTAGAGCTTAGTGGTAACAAATGATTAAGTTCTTGCCTCCTGGTTTTCATCTGGTGTTGCCCTAACTTTTTAAGGTCATGGGCATGTTAAGTGAGAAAACTAGTAGGGCTTGATACCAAAGAAACATAGGTTTTTAGGTCATAATATTGTAGAGCTTGAAGATTAGAATCCAGGCTAAAATCACTTTCATATATAACATTTTTGTTTTATAAGTACTTGCCTGAATTAAATTGAAGCCACACCTAATGGTGTGCACACTTGTCATTGTTCTTCATGGAAGTTTGACATGAATAGAAAGAATCTGGCAAAACACAACATAACCTGGATTATATTACATACTGAAACCACTTTTTAAAAAATTAATATAACTAGTATCAATACTAGTCCTGGTGTAACATTGCAGGTTAATGTGCTGGACTACCAAGTTGGTTTGAACCACAAGTCAGTGGTTCAAGGAACCACTGGCTCCTCGGAAACCCTATACAAGGTTGCTATGAGTTGGAATAGACTTGATGGCACTTCACAACAACAAGAAGAAGCATCAATATCAATAGTTTTTCCAAGCACAGCCAGGATGTTATTAATCCTAATATTTATCCTTTCCTCTTTCCATACAAAAGTTCTGGGTCCATTTTTTCAATAAATGGATTTTCTTTGCCCTTCAATTGTTAGCCTCAATAATTCAGCTCTCTCTTTTTATCTCTATCACTCTTAAACCCTTCAGATTTTCAGAAGCTCATTCTCACTAAAGCTTAAACTGGAACATCAGAATGGATGGTGAGTTCCGGGATTGCTGAAAAGTATTAGATTCACGAAATGGAAAGGGTCAGGACCAAACAAAATAAGAGGTTGAGATGAAAGAGGACAAATGCCACTATAATACATAGGTTTCCACAATCTTCATATTGTTGTTATTGTCAAGTGCCATCGAGTTGGTTCTGAGTCATGGCAACCCTGTGTAGAGTTTCCAAGGAGTGGCTGGTGAGTTTGAATGGCCAACCTTACCATTCAAACTGACCTTATGGTCAAGTGCTTATCCTACAGTGCCCCACAGAAAATTCAAACTGTAACCAATGTTTTTGAATGACTGAAACTACATGTCTCAGGATTATGTCCTTTGGGTCCTCTGAGAATCTCTGAAGTGACCCCTCCCCTTAATCAATTTACAAGCCTTAGATGTTGATCAAGGGGAGCCTCTAAGAAGAGACTGTACTTTCTTCTTGGAGGTTTAAGCATTTGTTATGTGGAGATATGGCTACTAGTCCTAAAGATACCTTCTTCAAGTTTCTTGGTTCTTTTATTTCCTTTTGTTCCTGCAGTTGTCACTATCTGGGCTACCTCAGCAACTCCTTCTCATTTGTAACCAATCCCCTATATTTAATTACCATTGTTTGCAGTTCCAAGTGTGTAGGTTTTTCTTTCCAGACTGAAGCCTGATTGAAACAGAGATCTAAGGAATTTAGGGGTCAAGTGATGGGGACTTTCAGATGCTGTTGTGTGGTAAGCATACCAGGAAAGGGGCTATATTGACACATAATGTAGGGGCTCTACAATTGGTCAGAGAGGACTCAAGTGAGGTGACATTGAGTGAGCCTGTTGTTGTTGTTAGGTGTCACTGAGTCGGTACTGACTCACAGTGACCCTATGCACACCAGGACAAAACATGGCCTAATCCTGGACCAACCTCATAATCGTTGCTATATTTGAGCCCCTTGATACTGCTGCTATGACAGCCCATCACGTTGGGAGTCTCCATCTTTTTCTCCGACCCTCCACTTTACCAAATATGATATCTTGTTCCAGTGACTGGTCCGTAGAGTATGAGTGATGAAGTCTCACCATTCTGGCTTCCAAGGAACACTCTGGCTGTACTTCTTCCAACACAGATCTATTTGTTATTTTGGCAGCCAATAGTACTGTCAATATTCTCCTCCAATAGCATAACTCAAATGTATCAATTCTTCTACAGTTTTCCTTATTCACTATTCAACTTTCACATGCATATGAGATTATTGAAAATACCATGGCTTGAGCCTTGTACACTTTAGTCTTCAAACTGACATTTTTGCTCTATGGTCACAATTAAATTGGAAGCCAAAGTGATGAAGTTGGGACCTAACAGGACAGTAGCACACTCTTTCAGAGGCCTGAACTGTAATAGAGGTGAATAGTATGAGGGATTGAACAAAGAGACTCGTTTCAGGACTGGAAAGATTGGTTCATAGGTTCATAAAATGATCTGTATTATACTTTGTACTTTATATTTTAGCTAGGCAGACAAATATGAAGCTATAAGCGTTTCTAGTCTTTGTCCTGAAATTCCCTTCACTCACCTGTGTTAAGTTAACTTGTGCCTCTAGCAAATTTTATACAACAATATTAGGATAGGTTTGGGGTGCAACAAAATTGATGCCAAAAAAACAGAATAAGATAAATAACCTCTACTACTTATGGTCGGCATTTACCAACAACCACCACCATGTATTGAGTGCATATCATGTGACATGGAGTCCTGGTGTGGCACTGTAGGATAAGCGCTGGACTGCTAACCTCAAGGTTGGTGGTTCAAATCCACCAGCAGCTCCTCAGAAACCCTATACAGGGTCACTGTGAGACCTGACTCGATGTCACGTAACAACAAGAACAACAAACCATGTGACATAATCTGTCTTGAAAGAATAACAATCAGAATGATCCTTAGATATGAGAATGGTAAGATTTTGTCTCACATACTTTGGACATGTTATCAGGAGGGACATGTCTTGGTAGAGGGTCAAGAAAAAAGAGGAAGATCCTCAGTAAGATGGAGGAACGCAGTGGCTGTAACAATGGACTCAAACGTAGCACTGGTTGTGAGCACGGTGCAGGATCCGGTAGTGTTTTGCTCTAATATACATGAGGTTTCTGTGAGTCAGAACCATCTCGACGGCACCTAGCAACAACAATAACACCTTGTGCCCGGCATTGCTAGAGCACTGGGGAGTATGCTCAGATCTGAGATTGAGTTTTTGGAGAAATCACTTCCCACCTCTTTAATACTTAGCCATTTCTGAAGTACACTGAATTAAGTAAGGATAGGATGCTTAGTCCCAAGTAGTAGCGTCCCAAGGGTTCACAGATGTATCTCTGAGATGCTGAGAGAGTGTTGTATAGGAATACTGAGGCTCCATTCAGGAGTGGCCTTGGTGGAGTAAGTAAGTAGTGGGGTGGCTGGAAATACCACATGACTCTTGCCGGGAGCACACAGATAATGTTGTTCTCACAGGACATCTTTAGCCTAACTATAGAGGGTAAGACTTGCAGTCCCTGTCATAAGGGGCTTGGCATTCTCACTCACATCCCAGAGTATCATGGCAGGAGAACTGAGCTCTGGGGAAGTCCCTCAGTCTCCCCTTTCTGACATGTCTGAGGCCTGTCATCATCTCTGTTTCCTGGTGGTTGATCTTATGGAGTTTGACCCAACCCTTATTTCTCAGGGAGCCCAGTCAGGTCATACTTGTGCTGATGTTGTAATTTCATCACCTGCTCTCTGGCAGGAGGAACTGGCTTTCTTTCCTGTCATATGGTTGTCACACCCCACCAAAGGCTGAAGCCTCCTTGTGATTTCCAGATAAATGACCCAGGAACTGTCAAAGTCTGTCAGAACTTTTGGAAACGACTGGAGCTGCAATTCAGTCACCTGGTCTTTTGAAAGAAGCCCTCCCTTGTCAGGTGCACCTGATGTAGCTGGAAAAATCTTCTGATTCTGGACCCTTTTCTTTCACTATGTTTTGAGACTCACTGGGCTGACTCAGTGCTGTTTCTCAATGGGAGGTTGGTGGGATCTTGTCAGAGATGCTCTGGCATAGGGCTTTCCCCTGCTCTCAGGTGGAAGCAGCTGTTAATGGATGAAGAAGGTCTGGGAGGAAGAAACACTGGTATGAGGAGTTGCGGGGGGCATATTTAAAGTCAGAAGTCATATGCAGCCTTAGAAATTCTAAGGATATAGTACCATTATTGGATGGAATGAAAGAAATTTCAACTTGATTCTCTTCTTCTTGAGGTTACTTGAGGTTTTGTTCCAGGAGGGTGTTTCAGATCATCTCACAAGAGCTTTGTGTTGGGCCAGGCTTCCCAGCACCTCATTCAGCATTAAGGGCCATCAGAACCATTGACCTGGGACAGTCTTGGAAATGTCTTCTGAGGCCCGTCTCTCTTATCTCTGTCTTCACAGGTGCTGAAACAATCTCACCATGAAAGGCATTCTAAGAAACCCTAATCATTTTCCAAACCATCACACTGGTAATGTTGAGATGGGGCTCTGGATTCCTGGGGTGCCTATAATAATAGCTTCTCCTCTGGATACCTTAGAATTCTCTCCCTCTACCCTGGATGTGGGTCAGTCAAAAAGTATTGCTGCTAGGCTTCCAGTTCAGACATGCTCAGGTTTATTCCAAACAAAACATGTTTAAACATGTCTCTGAAATTAGTGGATGGCTGCAGACAAATTTTATCAGAAATATGCTTGTCTTAGTCTTATTAAGGTGCCTTGAAAGGAAAAAAAAAGATCCAATCAAAACAGTGGCTTCTGAGAGGGTCTGCTGGGACAATTAAATTCAAGGCAGAAAGGTTAGCACCAAAGGTTATAGTGGCTGCTTTTGGGGACTCCTGGGGTGTAATCTTGATTGATAGATATTTTTTGAAGGACACAGGATGATGATGAGGGCTTATTATGAAGAAATTTTAAGAAAATTGAAAACTGCATTGGTGAGAAAAAGACAAGGAGAGTTGCATTGAGGAATTGTTTTCCATCATGACAGCGCAGTTTCTCATTCTTGAGGGTCCTATGAGTTATCCAATAAGAACTGTGTTGGGAAACCTTACCCCATCCCCTCTAGAGCCCTGACCTCACCCCTTTAGACTTCTTTTTGTTCCCCAAACTAAAAGAACATTTAAAAAGAACATGACTTTAATCCTTCAAGGATACCCAAACTACCAATTTAACATGCTATAAATAGAAGAGAGAAGAATTCTTTGGGGAATGGCTAGCGAGATGGAAACACTGGCTTCAGAAGTGGACAGACCTAAATGAAGGACATGTTGAGAAGCAGTCACTTTCCATTTTGATGTTTTTGTTTGTCATGATACTTTTTTACTTGCCCACATACATGACTCCTTATCATCTGGTGCTCTCTGTTTCCCACTGGGCTCCTGGAGAATAAGAACACGTCTTTCTTCACAGCTCTAGTGCCTGTTGATTGCACAAGGCTGCACACAGAGTAGTCATCAAAAAAGTGGCTGGGCCTCAACACATGCACTGTGGGAACGTTTATTACCTTCTGTCTTGATGTTTTCCTCTCTTATACCAGTTACTGCACTTTGTAGCCCTTGCTCTCTTCACCAGCACCAATGACTTTCCTGGAAAGAAAGGCTGTGCTGTTGGGCCATGTGAGCCCTCCCAGACTTGGTGTGTATAAGATTCTCTTTCTTCTGACATCCAGCAAGGAAATTTAATCATTATGTCTCTTCATTATAACTTTCTATAGCAACGGCTAATCCTCAGTTTGGGAATGTCTCAGATTTGAATCACCAGGTGTGGGTCCTTCAGGGTGAGACCCTTGTGGCAAATCCTAGGAGTCAGAATGTAGTTCCAGGTAAGTGGTCATCCTCTGGCTGCTCTCTCCAGGGTAATCCAGTCCCTCTCATGGGTGCAGCTGTACTGCTGGCTTCCAAATTCTTATTAGAGTGGGGCTTTATGCTGGAGGGTAGAATTTTATAATGTTCCAGATGTCTGGAAATGGAAGTAAGGGAGAGGTTTGTCTTAGACTATTGAGATTGGAGAGGGTAGAGAAGAATCCTGCGAAAGAGGAAAGCTGCTTTCAGGGATAGAAGGATTTGCCTGTGAAAGAGGAATAATTTGTTCTGTGTGACTTCAGAGTCTTAAAAAGAGGACAGGTAGTACTCGACTTGCAATGTATCCGAATTATGATGAAACAAACTTATGATCACCATTTTTATTTATTATTGTTTTTTTACAACTTATCATTAGTAATATGTAATATTACTAAATTAGTAATATGTACTGATAATGTTGCAGCACATAATTGATTGATGTTATCATTCTCATGCCAACCTCCCCAAACAAATAAAGATGGGATTTATAGAGATACTGATAATAAAAGCAACAATAATGAAAACTAAAAATAAAATAAAAATGAAAATGAAGGATGCAACTTAAGTCAGAACTGACTTAGTACAGAGTGGAAGAAATAGAACACTCAGTTAGGGACTACCTGAAAATTGGTAGATAGCATAGCAAAGCAACTTTTAACACCATGTTAGGCAAAACAAGCTTCAAGGATGAGGAGGCCTGCTGAGTTGGGGAGCTCCCTTCTTTAAATATTAAAGCAGAGGTGTGACTTTCTCTAGGACCGAGATTGCCACTGGTTTAACTCTTTGTTTGCTCCATTTCCTAGGTCAAGGTTGCCATATTGTATATCTGAGTGAATGAATGCATGAATATGGTGGAGACATTTTCTAGCTTCATTTAGAAACTATTACCCTGGTAAATCAAAGGGGCTTTTCTTTACTTCATATAGAAACTAATAATCTCTCTCTCTTTTAAAATTGTAGTCACCATCACTCTTATCACATGCAAGTATCCAGAGTTATTAGAAAGTGATAAAGGGACTCCAATTTATTTGGGAATAGCAAATCCAGAAATGTGTCTGTCTTGTGAGGATGTTGAAGGGCAACCCACATTGCAGCTGAAGGTAAGTGATGACAAACAGATCATGCAAAAAATGTCCATTTCTTTTACAAGAAATTTGTTTGTAGAAAATGTAATTTAAAAATTCAGAGACAGTCTCCTTTTACTCCTCATGTTTGTTTCTAGCTCATTTTGAGTTATGTGTCTGCAACAAGTTTTATTCTGTCCCTCATGGGTTAAGGACTCTCACCTCTCTTCAATTTGGGGACTTTCTCAAGCACTGTTTAAGTATTTTCTTTTCTTTATTCTGCTTTATCTCTCCATTTGGAATTCCTATTCATCAATCATTGAATCTCACTGCTAGATCTCACTTCAATGTCCAACTATTTTTTTCATACTTTTCAACCTTCTACATCCTATATTTTAATTTTTGGTGTGGTCTTGGAGAAATATTTGGTTCAGTCTTTTAGCTTGTGGTAGCAATTTCAACCTTATCCTTGTTAAATCATCCTTCTATCACACATTCTTAAGTTTCAGTCTTTATTATTCAATTTCCAAGTTCTCTAGTTGATCCACTTTATAATTGCCTGTCCATTTTCCTTACATTTCAGTTTAATTCAATTCAATTTAGCAAATGTGTGAGTACATATTGGTGTCAACACTGTTGTGGGTACCTGATCTATTTCAGTGGACCCTAGTGGGAGGAGAGACAAAATATTGATACAATAATAGGTAAACATATGATTTGTAAAAGCATATTACATCCTTGCAAATGTACAATTAGAGCAGGAGAGAGACTGGCAGTGCCCAAAGACAGGGATGGAGTCTGATTGAAGTGCTAAATAGTACAGGAGGCTTCATTGGGAAACATAGATTTTTAATAGAGAGTAGGAGGTGAGATGGGAATCCGCAAGAATTTGTCCAAGGACTAGTGTAGAAATCCATGCCAGGAGTGAGGGTAGGAGGACTTCTGTCAGATCAAGGTAGGGTTTGAAGGGTAGTATTAGAGATTGAATTGTGTACCTCTAAAATACATGTTGGAGTCCTAACTCCTATACCTCTGGGTAGAATACCATTTGAGAATAGTGTTTTCTTTTTATGTTAATGAGATCCTCTCAGTGTAGGGGAACTGATAGTTGTTGTTGTTGCTAAGTCCTGTCAAGTGGGTTCTGTCTCATAGCAACCCTATGTAGGCTTTCTGAGGAGCAGCTGTTAAATTTGAATGGCCGACTTAGTGGTTCGAACTGACAATGCAGTTCAGTGCATTATCCTGCATCGTGCCACGCCAGATAGTAGTGGAGGGTAATCAAAATAGTTATTTTAAAAAAGATGGTGGACTACCTAAAATGAGGGGGCAATAAAGGCATGAAGTGACTGGCTTACAAGGTTTCATGAGGGAGTTTAGTTTAAGAGTATGGGGGGAAAGAAAGAGTCCCAACTGAATAGCTGTTATCTTGTCTAGATCGTTCTGGTAAAAGAGATGGGGATAAGATTCATAAGATTCAATAGTGAATAATTGTTATCATGACTAATCACGACTGTCACAATTGTAAAGGTAGAAGTTTTGTAACAAAAACAGGGGAGTGGTTCATCTTACAGTCCAGAAACAGAGGACCCTAGGACCACCAAGATAGAAATGCACAAGCAGAATGTAGGACCTTATCCAGAGAAGCAGCAGAGCCAGAGATGGAGGCAGAGATGGGGGCATGGAGAGGGGAAGTGGCTGAGGACTCTAGATTCATGGACTAAGAAGAGAGGGACTAAGAGCTGGTGGCCAGGAGGCAGACTTGCAGAATGTGCCCTTTGGAGGTGTAAATTGTTATTTCCGGGTTTTTGTTTGTTTGTTTTTTAAAGCTAAAGTGGATAGAGAGAAATACTGTTAACTGATGGTAAATGGAGGGGATTATAATCATTGAAATGAAACAAGGTATATGATTTGTTGAATGTAAAATTTATAATCTGCCTTGTAAACTTTCACTCAATCCACAATAAAAACCTTAAAAAAAAAAAGATAGTAGAAATAAGAACAGATGTTATACTGAAGGGAATGATTGAGTAGAAGAAGCAAAAATAATTGGTGTTTGAGAAAGAAAGAATGACTGGAGAAACATCCTTAAGTAGGTGAGCGCAGATGGGATTTGTTGTTGAGGTGAAGGGATTGTCTTTAGTGGAGACTGGCCAGATAAATATGTCTTGGAAAATAAGGCCTGGGTGTGGGTGAAGATACTGCTAGGAGCACATGTTATATATATAGGGTGGTTTATGGTGTGGTTTGTAAGGAGCTCTGGTAGCGTAGTGGTTACGAATCGGGCTGCGAACCTTAAGGTCAGCGGTTCAAAACTACCAGCTGCTCCGCGGGAGAAAGATGAGGCTTTCTACTTCCGTAAAGATTTACACCCTCGGAAACCCTGTACAGGGTCGCTATGGGTCGGAACCGACTCGACGGCACTTAACAACAACAATGGTGTGGTTTGTAGTGTGGAAAATCTCTTTTAGTTGTTTCAGTTTTCTCAGTGACATTTGAAATAAGGAGGCACTGACATTTGAAATAAGAACGCTTTCTTTCACTTATCAAATAGCCAACAAATGTCTGTTCAATAGAAAGGCAGGGATTTTCTATGTATGAAAAAGATTCTGATAATAATTATAAATTCAGTAGATAAACATGCGAAATTCAGATGGTGCTTGATCTTGGCATTGGGAGTGATGGATGTTTGTAGTTGTATTTACAGATTTACTTTCATTGGGGAGTTCACTGAGACCTGCCTAATGGGAAAATGCCAATCCTGGGAGACAGTGTCCAGATGGAATGAGAGCAAGACCACAGGGGCCGGAATGCTTTGATCTATTTGAAGGAAAGAAAGAAGATAAATTTAGCTGTGGCTCAGGAGCATACAGACAGGGTGGAGGTAAGGGTAGTGAGGTAGGCAAGAGCTGTATGTTGTCAACTCTGGAGATTCTCTTAAGACATTTAGATTTTATTGAAATGACAATAGAAGATCATGGTATTGTTTTGAACCAGGAGATAACATTATCTTATTTTTATCAGCATAAAGGTTGCTTATCAGCTTTATGGAGACTAGATGGCGGGGAAATAGCACAGGGTGGAGGAGAACAATCGTAACAGCATCGTAATTATGCAGCCCATGACCTGGATTGGGGTTTGACAGTATAAAAATTATGAGAAGTGGCTCAATTCATTAAGATATTCCAGATATATTCTGGAAATAATTCTCAAGACATGCTGCTGTTGTGGATGTTGAGAGAAAGGTAAAAGATAGAGGTGTCAAAGGTAACTCTTAGGTTGTTGACTGCCCCCAAAATTGAGTGGATTAACTCAAAGCCGTTAACTGAGTAAAAGAATTCTCTATGGGAAAAGATTTCTTCTCACCCAGGGTGAAAGAGAACCAAATATGAACTACCCTGTGTTTCTGTAAGACCTTGCATAGAAATACTCACTGTACTGCAAACCACAAGGCCCGTGGTTTGGGCCTGTCAACCGCTCTGTGGGAGACAGATGAGGCTTTCTGCTCCTGAAAAGATCTTAAAAGCCTAGGAAGCTTATACAGGGTTGCTATGAGTTGGAACCGACTTGAAGGAACTTAACAATAACAACATATAGCATGTGAGAAAATGTTCTTCTATTCATTTCTTGATCTATTTATTTTGTTCCTTTTGGTACAAGTCCTTTGATTTGTTAAGCCCTATTGTATCTTTTTCATGGAATTTACCTTTCTATATGTTTGGCAATTGGTTAGCGAGTCTACCTGGCTATCCTTTGCCATGGCAGTGATCTTGCAGGGAGGTACCTGTCCCTGAAATTTTGTTAATGAAGTTCTTTATTTGCATTTTCCAATTTGTATCTTCTTCCTTTAAAAAAAAGTCTCTTGTGCCTCCTGAGGATTCCAGTTCATCGTTCAAGCTTGGTTACTTGTATATTCACCCATCCTTCTATCTTTTTCTATGTCGACTCTGGGTTTGAGGGTGGGTGCTATGAAGGTGAGATTTTGTGTGTTCTCTTTGCTGCTCTTTTGAATGTTTGGCTAGGCTTACTCTATTAGATGAATAAGGCTTTCTTCAACTTTGGATCATTTATTGACAGTGAACAATGCCCGCAGATTCTGCTTCCCTTCCTGAGTTTTCCCTTTCACGTTTCAGAAGGAGAAGATAATGGATCTGTACAACAAAAGTGAGCCCGTGAAGTCCTTCCTTTTCTACCGGAACCAGAAAGGCAGGACGTCCACGCTGCAGTCCGTGGCCTTCCCTGGCTGGTTCGTTGCCTCCTCAAAGATAGGCCAGCCCATCTTCCTCACTTCTGAGTTGGGGAAGTCTTACAACACTGATTTTGATTTAAATATAAAGTCTTGAACTCAGCCTAAAGGAGTCAACTTGGTCAGAGGGCGTCCATCTTCTAGCTTCCAAGGTGTTTTCATTCTCTATTATCTCTTTGTCACCCAAAAAGTCAGCAGGGCTGCTGTTATTGTCTTGTTTTTTGGATGAAGAAGAAATGATAACGTCATGGTAACTGAAGAATACAATGTGAACTCAGAACCAGGAGCAATGGGAATGTTGTATATGGTTCCCTTCACAAACTGAAGTTTCCATATCAAAATCATATGTACTAGCAATAATGGGGCTTTCTCTCCAGGAATATATGATGGACAAAGTTTCAAAGCTCAAAACAAACGTATCCAAGATCGTGTGGCTAACGTCCAGCTGATCTTTTTGGTTTGTTTTGTTTTTTAGATTTTATCTTTCATATGTTGCCAATATTCCTCAATGACTTTTTAAATAAAAGAATTCTTGTGTTACATTATCTTTGTTCCAATTTGAATGTATACACAAAAAGCCAAATATGCATGTTGTTGTTAAGTGACGTCGAGCTCTGGTAGTATAGTGGTTAAATATACATATGCTTATACAAAAACAACACTAAAACAGATCTAAAGTAAAATCAAAGAAACAAAGAGTAAACTGAAATTGAATGAGAACATCAAAAAAAACAAAAAAAACAAACAAACAAACAAACAAAAACAACCTGGGAATGAAGCTTACGCAAGGAATTAAAGATCTCTGTGGGCTAATGTGTCAGACTGCAAAGTCGTTTGAACTTCAAGGTCAGTGGTTCAAGCTCACCAGCTGCTCCTCGGAAACCCTATACAGGGTCGCTATGGGTCAGAACTGACTCGATGACACTTAACAATAACAACAACAACAATCACTGGTAACAGGAGTTCCAGTGTGGCTCCAAGATAAGCACTGGGTTCCTAACCATACAGCGGTTCAAATCCACCAATTACTCTCAGAAGTCCTGTACAGGGTCTCTATGAGTCTGAACCGACTTGACGGCACTTAACAACAACCACCTAATAGCGATCGAGGAGTGGTGGCTGGGTTTGAAAAACCAACCTTGTAGTTAGCAGTCCAGTAATTATCCTACACGCATACAACATGATTGTTGTTGTTGTTAAGTGTCATCAAGTTGATTCCGACTCATAGCAGCCCTGTGTAGGGCTTCCAACAATTTACTGGTGAGATCAAACTGACCTCGCTGTCCAGAGCATTAACCCACAGCAGCACACGAGTTGTCCTTACACCACGATTTGTTTTGTTGTTGTTTAAGTGCCGACTCATAGCAACCCTGTGTAGGGTTTCTGAGGAATGGCTGGTGAGCTTGAACCGCCCAACTTTCGGTTCAAACAACTTTGCAGTCCTGCACATTAACCCACAGCGTCACACACCAGCATAGAAGCAGGGAATTTAACATCTGAAATGACACTGCAGTTTGACAAGTCTTTATAGTCTCACAGATTTTTTCTCCTGCTTCCTCTTCTTTTTTTTTTTTTTTTAAAAAACGCACTAATTAGCTACATGATAACAACCCTCGTAGCGTAGTGAATTATGAGCTGGACTGCTAATGCTAGTTCAGTAGTTCGAATCTACCACTCTCTAGGTTCTTCTCCCGTCAAGATTTGTTGTTGCTGTTGTTGTTATGTGCCGTGGAGTCGGTTCCGACTCATCGTGACCCTGTACAGGGTTTCTGAGGTTGTCAATCTTTACGGGAGCAGAAAGCATCATCTTTCTCCCGCGGAACAACTGGTAGTTTCGAACTGCTGACCTTGCAGTTCGCAGCCCGATTCGTACCCACTGTGCTACTAGAAATCCTTTTAAGATTTACAGCTTCAGAAATCCTATCCAGTGTTGCTGTGAGTCAAAACCTACTCGGTGGCACACAACCATCACCATCATCCACATATTCTCTTTATGGAAAAGGGACCCCAGAACCTTGTTTTCCTATCAGCCATGGTTCTGATGATGTATTCTGATGAAATCTAATATGTGATTTTAGGTTTCATGGTAGAGGGATTTAGCTCAGATAGGATTCTGTAGGTAATATACTTTAATACTACTAATGCAAGGAGCTCTGGTAGCGTATTGGTTACGAATCGGACTGTGAACCTTAAGGTCAGCAGTTTGAAACTACCAGCTGTTTCGCAGGAGAAGGAGGAGGCTTTCTGCTCCCGTAAAGATTTACAGCCTCGGAAACCCTGTACAGGTTTGCTATGAGTCGAAAACGACTCCACGGCACATAACCACCACCACTACTAATGCAGAAAATGCTTCTTTGCTTACTTTCTACAAAGCTGGTGTTGTTGTTATGTGCCATGGAGTCGGTTCCGACTCATAGCGACCCTGTACAGGGTTTCCGAGGCTGTAAATCTTTACGGGAGCAGAAAGCCTCATCTTTCTCCCACGGAGCAGCTGGTAGTTTCAACTGCTGACCTTGCAGCTCGCAGCCTGATTCGTAACCACTATGCTACCAGAGCTCCTTTTCTACGAAGTAGCACTAGTAATTAAAACTTTGAAAAAAATGTTTAGTTTAGAACAATCAGACTGCATACTCTATTAAGAGTGTGATAAACAATCAGCAACCATCATTTTAACACAGTATTTCTTGATTCTTTAAAGTTTTTCTTCAGTTGAACGCAATTTTAGCATTGTGATTTTAAAAGCAACATCAAAATAGACTTCTAAACGAATTAGTTCTGTGATAGCTTATAGAAGAATCAGTCATTGCATATTTATTCACTGCTAATAAATGGTTGTATATTATTATATTTTATACAGAAATCCTCATTTATGCTATATAAATGGTGATTTGATATTATTCTCACTAAGAAATAGATTATTACATAGACAATTGGGATTTGATGACACATTTGTTATGAGATGATTACGATTCTAAGTGCTATAGAGAATCCCATCCCACCTATATGCTCACTGCTAATAGATAGTGGTGGTTGTTATTTTAAGTGCTGTTGAGTTGCTTCTGACCCATAGTGACCCTGTGCACAACAGTATGAAACACTGGCCGGTACTGTGTCACCTTCACAATCATTTTACACTTGAGCCCATTGCTGCTGCTCCTGTGCCAATCCATCTCGGGGTCTTTTTCTTCTTCAGTGATCCTCCAGTTCTTCTCCAGGAACTGGTCCTTCCTTTTTATTGGTATGCAGTATGAGAGACGATGCCTCTCCATCCTGACTTCTAAAGAACATTCTGGCTGTACGTGTTACAGTAAGTATTTTAAGCCCTCTTCCTTTCAGCAAGCAAGGTTGTATCATCTGCATATCATAAGTCTTCCTCCAATCCTGATGCTATGTGTTCTTTCATATAACCCACCTTCTAAAATTATTTGCTCAGCATACAGATTGAATAAGTATGCTGAAAAAATACAAGCCTGGTGCATAACTTTCCTAATTTTAAACCATTTGGTGTTCCCTTGTTCTGTTTTAACAACTGCTTCTTGGTCTATGTACAGGTTCTTCATAAATACAATTAAGTGTTCCAGAATACTTATTCTCCTCAATATTGTCCATAGCTTGTTATGATCCACACAGTCAAAGGCCTTTGCATAATCAATAAAGCACAAGTAAATATTTTTCTGATATTCTCTGCTTTCAGCCAAGATCCATCTGACATCAACAATGATAGCCCTTGTTCCATGTCCTCTTTTGAATCCAGCTTGATCCTCTGGTAGTTCTTTGTCAATGTGTGGTTGTAGCCATTTTTGTATTATCTTCAGCAAAATTTTACTTTTAATGTGATATTAAAAATATTGTCCGATGATTTCTGCATTCTGTTGAGTCAGCTCTCTTTGGAATGGGCACAAATACGGATCTCTTTGACATTTGCTATAGCATGTATATATCCCCAAATGTATGTTGTCTAGTTTTGCTTATTTTTAATTTTTATAGTAATGAAATCATGCTATAGCTATTCTTTTACAGCTTTCTTCATGTTCTTGACATTTGTTCATGATGATGTGTCTGTTTTTGTGCTTTGAGAATAAGATAAGATGCCGTGGTGAAATTACATATGTAAGAAATTTATTGGGAGAAACATCTATGAAAGGAACAGAGGCAAAGGGTCAAGAGAAGGCAGGGAGAATCTTCAGACTCTGAATCAGGGTTAATATTAAGGACAGGAAAGAAAGAAGAGAGGAGGACTGTGTAGGATGAGTCTTAGATTGCAATGCAGCTGAGAAGCTGTGAAAGTTCCTTCCAGGTCAGTGGGGAACAAAATCTCAAAACAAACCTGGTGCATAGAGGAGTCTTAAAACCGGAGGAAAGGCCTGACCTTCTCCTCCTGGGGCGCTCAGTCACTGACTGGAAGCAGTCTAGGGATAAAGCAACTTTGGTAGGAGCAATGTAGTGGATCCTGCAGGCTATCTGATATTCTTTCTGTAACAGGTTGTCTTGAATGAAAATCTGTGAAATGCAACTTCACAGTTACCACATTCCACTCTTTTGGCTGTAGTGTGGACTACAAGACCCATCACTGCGATTGGTCTCAGGACTACAACTGATTCTCATAACTTTCTTTCTTCACCATTTAGTCTAAATTCCTCTTATCCTTGGTTATCACTTTGGCATGTCTTAATGACTTTTCTGGTGATGTGAACCAAATCCTCATCCCTAAGGGATTTAGCCATTTGGTAAATCTTTCCTAGGCTGGGATTGCTGCCTTTACATTTACCAATTGTTGGTGGTGAGTGCTGTTGAGTTGGTTTGGATTCATAGCGACCCTGTATAAGGTTTCTAAGTCTGTAAATCTTTGTGGAAACAGAAAGCCTCATCTCTCTACCACAGAGCAGCTGGTGGGCTGGAACTGCTAGCCAGTGCTTAACATATAGAGCCACCTCACTCCTCACAGTTATAATTGTTGTTGTTTTGTGTCATCCAGTTGGTTCTGACTCATAGTGAACCTGTATATATGGCTTTCGAGGAGTAGCTGGTGTATTTGAACTGCAAACCTGCGACAATGCCACACCAGTTACAATTAGGCAAGGAAATATTAAAAGATGC